ATAGTATCCCCACTCATCCTATACTTTGATGGTAAAGTAGCTTACACCTCTGGTTGATTATTATTAGATACATGAAGAACTGGATCCAGATCATAGTTTGAAAATCAAGATATATATATATATATATATATATATTCACCTGAAAATTGTTAAGGTTTTGATGTGGATCCGAATTTGTAAATCAATGAAATACCGTGTCAAATAAACAACTTATGAGTAGCTGATTAAAATAATATCTTTCAAATAGGTATCGTGTAATGATGTTACATCAAATTTTGAACCTGTTGAGAACCTGTGTTCCACAGGATTCAATACTTGGGCTCCGGCTCTTTGTTATTTATGTTAATGACAAATGTAATTTCATGTCTCCCTATAAGTTTATTCTCTATGCAGATAACACAACTTTAATATATAGCGATCAATCATCATTCCAAGTAATGGAAGAAGTTGAAAATCAAGCATCAACATACATATCTTCTCGCAAATAAACTATGTAGTGCAATATATACCCTTCGGACCCTTCGTCAACTGCAAAACATCACAAGCGGTGAGATTATAAAAATGAACAATTTTGCATTATTCCCCTCACACATCAGCTACAGTGTTGTTCTTTGGGGGAACTCTCCTGGTTCGATGAGAATTTTCAAACTACAGAAAAAAAACTGTAAGAATACTGGCAAGTGTAGGTTTCCGGGAGCACTGTAGACCATTAATTAAAAAATTACGTATCATGCCGTTACCAACATTATATATTTATTAGACGCTACTGGAAATCAGAAAAAATGCTCAGTTGCTAGAGAAACAGTCTGACATACACCAACACTGAAATGCGGACAAGGTAAGCACATGCCGTTATCGTTTGACCAGATCAAAAATGAATTCGGTTGATTACTATCTTTTCAACTCTCTGTCAAATAACTTTTAAGAGCTTAGTATCACCAAATTCAAAAGAGCCATCAAGGAAATGCTACTCAACCTATGTTATTACTCAATCTTGGAATACTACGATCATTTTAGGACAGTTCACGTCAGCTATGTCTACTCGAGACGAAACATACTCACCGGTATGAATTGTACTGTGGTAATTTGTAAATACCCCTATTATCATAGGTGAATATTCATTTGTTTATATACGTACGTAGGCAACCCCTGCGTTGCTTAGTATTTTTACAATTTTTAGAAGTTACTTCTTTGTGCGCAGCGTTATAGAACAGTGCTTTCAAAATATTGTTCTACAGCGCCATCTAGTGGCAAGTTATAGAGAAATTAATAGCCTAAAAACTTTCTCTATGAAAAATTACTTATACATGTCAAGTTTCATCACGATCGGTTGAGCGATGTAGAAGTTTATCACTTACCAACTTAGCTTACACCTCTGGTTGATTATTATTAGATACATGAAGAACTGGATCCAGATCATAGTTTGAAAATCAAGTGCTTTAGTGAAGTGTAATTTCAAGAATTTCTATCAACTTTTTTGAATATCACCATGGTAATTATCCTAGAGAATTTGAAAATATCAGCACGTGAAAGATTATGCAGTGGAAGAGTTCAATATGTATTCATCCTTTCGTGAAAGCTTTTAAGAAAAATAAATAGAAATCGCTAGGAAACTACGTAAGCAGGGCTTTTTTCCAGTTTATGTCTGCAAGTTACTTTTTTGAATGATCTAAACATTTTTGTAAGGAATTTATTTTGAACTTATTTTCAGAAGTTTCCAACATTTTTTGTATAAAGATGGATAGGTAGAAAGCCAAAAAGCTTTTTCACAAAAACCAATCTCTTAAAAAAATATACCTTTTTCAATTCAAATGTAATTGTAATTAAATGGTCGTGACAACGACCACCAATGTATGACGTCATTTGATCTTTACTTTTCTGGGCTATTCAAAAAAGTGCATTCAGCAAATCGAAGGGCAGCATCATTTTGACAGCCTCACTAAAATTCTACCAAGGCCAGAACTGTTAAAACAGTCTCAAAAATAATTGTTACAGAAAATCTTGAGTTTAACATTGTTTTTAATAATTGAAAACATCTTCTTTCCAAAAGCAGATTTTGAGTTTCTGAGATCATAATCAAAAATGTGATCTAACTCGATTTGTTACCACAGCAAAACAAGTACCGTTCTTCCGAGTAGGAAATGGAAAGAAGCAGGAGGAGGAAAACATTCTACACTCAAAAGATATGACTAAATATTTCAAATTCAAGTTATTGGAACTTTGAGCCCAACTTCAACGCAGGTCTCGAAATTTTGAATTTAGTCATTCGTAAACGAAGAATTAGTAGTGTATTACAAGATTAGCAAAAAAATTAAAACGCTAGTAATCAGGTCAGGTTTTGAAATAGTGTTTGTATTTTGACTTTTGATATATGTGGCAATCATATTCATCGACCACAAAAATTACATTCCGAAACACACAACAGTAATTCTGAGGATGAAGTCTGAATTGTTTAGATGCGTATCTATAAAAGTATCTATTATATTCGAAATAATGTATTCCTATAATCCGTTTCTTATAAGATATTCTTCGTAAGTATGAAGACGTCACGCCCTCATATTACATCAAGTTATTCAAAGAGATAAAATCAGCATAATATTTAATTCAGAATTCTTGGTAAAAGTTCGGAATCCCCAATTCCGGCATCTTTTCATGTGAACCTAACAACGGACCCTTTGGTATTCTCTGTGCGTAGATGAACCATTTGCAGGGAGACATTTACATGGATATCACGTACGTCCAGAAGAAAAATTACATAAATTTATAGTTCGGTTTGGAGAAAAAGTTGAAGGTGAATTTAACAGGGATATTCCTATGTGAAGGATGATGTCATTTCGAAGCCGTGACTATGAATAATCGGGTGTTATGACGCATCCGATGGTCTCATTGTTTTCAACTCACGATTGAGTTTCACTAGAAACTTCCAAATCATCTGTTTTATAAACGGTAAAATAATGAAAGTCAGAGAAAATTTTGTTACATTTTTGAAATATTTGTTTGATCCTCATTTTCTGAATAAAATCATACATTTACAGATTCGGTGGAATGAAAAAGAACTACTGATGAAAAAGTAGTCCGATGTGAATGTTTTTGAATAGAGCCTATAGTATAGGTTAAGGTAGTTTTCTGATCTGGAATAGTCTACAAGATTCTGGGAAGGTGCTTTTGCTAGAAAAGCAATGTAATTACGAAGAGATACTAATATCCTGATACCTAATATTCTTTGCATTGACCCAGAACTGATCTATTGGAAAAATTTACCTAGGGACATACCCCAGCAAATCTTCAGGAAGGAAAGAGTCTGAGAAATACTTCAACAACAGAACAGGAATCGGCTCAGAATAATAACGAGATATAAACTGTGCATTGTCTATAGGACACCCAAAAAAAATTTGGCTATTTACCGAAGAAATCAACTGCAGAGAAAGCTATAAAGGGACAAGACAGCCCGTCATGGCTTTTGAGGATATTAGATATTGGATCAGAAGAGTCAAACAATTTATGTTTAATCAGAAGATCAGTGGGACGGTAGCCTGGTGGGTTGACGTGGGTGGTTTGCTCTGTTTGCTCTACTCATTCAATCGACCGCTGTACAAACTGGTGGGTCAGCTCGCACAAGTTTCGACTGTGCGAGTTGTCGTTTCTGGGGGGTGGGGGGAGCTGGTTAACGGAACAGATTTTATCAACAGACAGACAAAATTCGTAAATGGAAACAAGTTTGTTTTTCGATTATTTTAAGAATTGCTTTAGCTGCCATTCAGTTCAATTTTAGTAAAAATTCACAGACAATATCGCTCTTACCAAAAACCCTTCTAGGTATTCGTTACAGTGTTATCTAAGAAATATTATTTTGAATTCATTCGCATATTTAACATCGAACTGTTTTCAAAACTTCCAAATTTCCGAAGACACAAACTATATGTGGTGAAATTTAAGATAAGCTAAGAGAAATCGACCCAGCCTACTGTAACAACAGCATGGGTAAGTAGTCTCGAACGAACCCTTTACATGAACATTCGATTTATATTTCGTGCAACATGAATAATATTTTTTCAGAGGGGAATTCCAAGAAAAACACAAACTACGATACGGCAACATGAATAATTAGAAACCGTATTATAAATAGAACCCTTAGGTGATGCATATATTTGATTTGATTTACTCACCCCTGGAGTGTTGGCCTGAGGTCCATAGGGATACCGCGTCCAGTCCAGACTGGCTTCCCCCGTAGTATCCAGAACAACCACTGTAACAAGAAAAAAGATAATTGAGAAACATTCTTGAATAAACTGCACTCAAGACACTTTTAGGGTAAATATTTTTCCATACTCTAATAAATGAAAACCAGGAAGCGAGTATTTTATAAAATGATAATCACATTTACCTACGCATGAATAGATTATCACGTGAGTTGACATGGAATGAATTTACACATTCAGAATTATTTTCCAAGATACAAAGTGGCCAAATGAAACCGAAACAGAGCCTTTATAGGGAATAATTTGTCGCTCCTTGATTTCTTTTCGAGTCAATATTCAAAAAGTACAATCTCTACAATACAACCAGCACCTCCGAATTATTTACACGAAAAAATTGTCGTCGGAATATCCAAGTACCCTTCGAACAATATCTTCATTATTGCATGGATACCTACAAGTTTTCATCAGTTTGATTATTTAATCAACTAAGCAGCAAATATATATTCATTTGAAGTGATTGCCACCTTCTTTTGGAATACTAGATGAATACAAATATATAAATAAAAAATTAACGAGATCTTGAGTTTCTTCTGAAATATTGGAGTTCCTCAGAAAGGTTGTTTTTCGTTTTTGTTTGACCACCCGAAATTTCAATTCAAGCAACAATGATGGTTTTAAATGGGTAAATCCAAATCCTATTGAGTTATAAAAAAATTTGTATTATCAACAAAATACTAATCTTGCAGAAGCGTTGGTTGAGGAACTTACCCAACATCAGTACGACTAATTGTTATTAGCAAATTCATGTTATGAAATTACTCTACCATATTTATTCACCTGAAGTGCTAGGAACTCAGAAACTGAATTAAGTACGACGAAGTAACATTCATTTTCCAAAGCTTTCAATCAAATAAACATGGTTTTAATAAAGTCGTGTCCCAGATAATGAGTGGTTGTGAAAATGAATAAGATGAATTAGGGAGGTTATCAAACAATTAAATATGTCATTTGACTGATGATGATCAAAATATATTTCGTCAATTATCTAATGTTTGAAGCATTATGATCTAATATGAGAATTAGAAACGATCAATTTTCGGAAAAGTCCAGAATACCCTCTTTTTGTCAAACAAATATTCCAAATTGTCCATAAAAATCAAAGGTGTGAAAGTATCCAAACTTTATATTTCTTCGTGAGTTTTACATTCTCCATGTATTATATTTATACTCGTATAATTTGTTAGTAAGTATATTGACAAATTCATCTTTTTGTAACAGAATAAAAAACCTTTTCAACTGCAGAAGAATCCCAAATATGGTGAACCGCAGGGGACCATTTTGGGTCCTCTGCTATTAATATATTTGAGTAGTATGTTAATGTACTATTGAAAACGCTTGAGGAAACGTTTTTGTAAACTGTCCAAAATCTCACAATGAAGTGTTTCTTGAATATATATTTTTTGATATTTCTTTCAGGTTTCATAACTGATCCAGATGATATTAAGAGATCATTTTGAGGTCAAGATACATTGTAGCTACTAATTATTGAAAATAAACTTTTATTGAACTGGAACAACCCTGAAAAAATATGTTTTAAACTGAATTGTCTGAATTTTGTCTTTAACGTAGATAAGGTATGATACCTATTACGAAATTTCGGGAAAGGGGGCGAGACCCCCCTGTATTTATTAGAGTTGCTCAATTCAAGCATATTGAATTGTATAATTTTTTGGAATCATCTTTTTTTCTTTACGAATATTTTCTAATTTTTCATCGACAAACACGAAATATTTGTTGAACAAACTTGCGATTTCTCCAGAATTTCGAAGTGAAACTTGCGGAATCCCAGAAGAATTGGAATGATCTATATTTGTGTCACAGCTATGATACATACTACATTCACACAGTACTTACACTCATACATTGCGGTCAGATACATGAGATCCAAACTTATCATTCAAGCGGTTAACAATTCCATAATTCCACAAGTGATCAATGACTGAACTTTTTCGGATGAAACACGGAATACTACAAAAAGAAAGTCTTTACTCTTCAATATTCATCACACATTCAATTGAATCACCACAATTTCTGTCATCATTCCAAAAGTCCTAGTTTTCACTGAGTTTGTTCGATTGAAAATAAATGAGTAATGGGTATTATTGACCATGTATTGAATCGGACCCTGAGGTAACAATTACTCATCAGGTGTGACTTGTGTTACCGTTAATAAGGATAGTGTAGAAGAAAAAAAATGTCAATGAGATATTTGATGAAGTATTTGGGACAGTTATCTGCCTTACCCATTAGAAAACATTCATGAGGCCTATCTTGTGCCTTGTTTTCAGGAAACTTGTTCAGTTGTTGAAAATACTTGAGGCATGCAGCATAAGAAGTGAGCTTTCCAAATAAACAAGGAGTATGGAAGTTATTACCAACGAAATAAACTGAAAACTTATACTGAACCGCAAGGGCCCGTTCTGGGTTCTTTGCTTTTCAAAATATAACAGTATGTTTACATACTGGACGGTAGTTTAGAAATGCTTTCGATATAGTAAACTTAACGAAAAATTCACTTATTACCTGCTAACTGCCTTATATAGAAACAATCTCCTAAACTCGAGAATCATCAAAATTAACGACTCTACCGAAATAACAGAAACGAAAGATAAAACATTTAGGAATAATATTGGACAGGCTTGTTTTGTAGGATCTATGAATCAAAAATAATAAAAAATCGAAATATTTCTACCATGGTTTGAGTCATGGTACAAAAATGTATATAACTGGGTTCCGTCACTTCTGTCATATGATACAGGGGGAGAAAAGTTAGTGATATCGTTTGAGGAATCTCAGTGTAATGCAGAAATGTATCATTGAAATTTTGTATGAGAAATTGAAGTTTTTTTTAATTGATTTCACTTTATAATCACATATACGTTTACCGCTTGTATTAGCTGATGATAGTTTTAGTAAATCTGATACCGGCAAATAGTATCCCCACTCCCTGACATGATTTCAATTGTACAAGAACTCGAATAACAATAAATACCAATCAATGCACTCTTTCACTGTTGTTATCCTGTTCTCTCCCTTCGTTCTTAAATAGCGTGTTTATGCACTTCCTTCCTCGTCATCAATCTGTAATATTTCCATTGAGAGGCTAATATAAAAATCAACAAAACCACGCGAGACGCTATTTTTCGTATATAAACGTCTATGCGACCCCTGCTTGCGCATTCATGCAGAACACCATTGTACAATATTTTGCACTCTTTCTTTCCACCCCTGACAAAAGAAGAATATTTCAGCGATTGCGTTCACCAGCGTCTACATTATTCTCACCCTTACATGTCAATATTTTCTGATCCATTTGGTAATTCCATTTGAGAATGGCGTGATTTTCGAAAATATGTACGTCTATGCGATTCGATGTAAAAAAATAACAAAATGTGGTAGCACTGGTAGCCTTTGTATTTTATAATGATTCTTTCTTCGGCGAGGGGAAAATATTATATGCGGTTCGAAATAAAGATTATTATTCGTGATTTTTTTTGAGTTATGATCGAGACAATAGAACTAGAATCAACACTAGACTAAAGACAATACAATTGTCTGGTCTATCCATTGGGAAGTCTACGTCGCTTGGAACACCCACGCTAGGTGTGCACATCAATTTGTTATATCTCAACGGCGGCTTCTCAAAAATTTGTAATATGACACTATTCTGTAACTACTGGTGCTCTTCAAAGTTAAAAATATATCTTTGAAACATTGATCACATATAGGAAGTTCCCTCTTATATATAGTGTTAAATTGTAACCAGCAAAGAACCATCGTCTTGATTGGAGAGCCAAACATCACAAGCTACCTTGATAGCCTCGAAAATCGGTGAAAGGTTGACAACTTCGTTGTTTCCGATACTTTCACAAGAAAAGTTCGATTGACGTAACGTCCTTGTGAAAAAAACTTCCCTAGGCGGTTCTTTCGCCTAGGGAAAAAGCAAACATCAATACAATGAAGCCTCGTTGAAAGCGACTCTACAAGTAACGTCCGTATAGAATAAGGTGATCAATTTTTCAAGGACTGACCAAGAAATGAAGAGGGTCATAACAATTTTGTTTCAGTGCCCAAACAATCCAGGGATTCGACTTGAATAAAAGAACATTTTGAAAGGTTGAAACAACTTCTCAGCGTCAGAAAGAAATTCTCCAGGAAGAGAGAGGTTTTAGACTCGAATGAAGTACACCGAGCGGTCATCAAAAAAGTATTTCATAACAACGTTAGGCCTCCATACCTATCAAAATGGCTGAACTATCCACTCCAGATCTACCAGGAGTACGAAAGCCAGTGACTTAAAATACCGTATTCAAAGAAATTGTTCGTTCCCCAAATACTGCTTCAAGGGTGACACTAAAGTTTATGAAGGGACGGCTTTCTTCTAATATATAATCCTTTATGTAACCAATACACGTTTATTGAACCACTACAAGTTTTTGATACTCGTTTTGAAAGAGATCGGTTGATGGCTTCCTGTTCACCATTGATTGTTGTGAATTTTTGACTATCAGTGATATAAAACATTATTTGTCACTTCAAGGATTCAGAATGACAAACTAAGGAAAATTAATTTCACCAGCATCACCAGTTTTCAACAGAATTGTTTATGAATCAAGCAGATCAACAATGAGTTAGATAATATTACCAACCAACGTTGTCATGACAAATTCCTGTATTTGTGAATCTTTCAGATATTCCAATCAGGAGGAATCTGCATAATGAATCAAAATTATATGCTGACCAATTTGACAAATTATCGTGCCTCAATTCCATCGACGAAAATGGTATGTTCAGTTTAAAAAATATCGACCATCTACCTAATATAAATTATTTAGAAGAGCCGAGTATAATTAAACCGTAAAACTCAACGTTATAAATATGCTGTTCCCGAAAAATGGCAAATTATACATGTACTAACGATTTTATCGGTAGATCCGATCTCTGCCTTCAATTTTTTTTTCGAGGGGAATCCGCCGTGCAACGATTA